TTATTGCCCGTACATAGTTGTTCCTGAAAAGGTAGCAGTGAGCTGCCTTCTTGAACAGCTGCAATCCATGTGCTCTGGTTAACCCACAATGTCCCTGGGGAGGAATTCCAGGATTTTGACCCGGCAACAGTGGAAAAAAAGGTGATATTCACGATGATGAGTGGCTTGAAGGGGTACTTGCAGATGGCAGTGTTCCCAAGTATCTGCTGCTCTTGTCTTTCGAGATGGAAGTGGTCGTGGGTCTGGAAGGTGCTATGAAAGGATCTTTGGTGAGTTTCTGCAGTGCACCTTGTATGCATTTGCATGTTAAAGGGCTGTGGTTAGACTTTCTCTTAGTGGAAATGGTCACTGCTTGGCATTTGTGTGGAGCAAATGTTGTTGTTATTTGCTATTGTCAGCCAAGCCTGGGCATTCCAGATGGTGTTGCATTTGAACATGGACTGCTTCAGTATCTGAGGAGTTGCAAATGGTACTGAATATTGTGCAATCATTGGTGAACATCCCCATTTTTAACCATACGATGGAGGGAAGATTATTGATGAAGCAGCTGAAGATGGTTGGGCCTAAGGCACTACCCTGAGAAGCTCCTGCAGAGATGCCCTGGAGCTGAAGTCGCTGATCTCCAATAACCACGACCATCTTCCTGTGTACCAGGTATGACTCCAACCAACAGAGAGTTTGCCCCTGATGTCCATTGATTCCAATTTTTCTAAGGCTACTTGATGCCATACTCAGTCAAATGCAACTTTGATTTGAGGGGCTGTCACTCTCACCTCACCTCCTGGGATTCAGCTCTTGTCCATGTTTGAACCAAGGTTGTAATGAGGTTCAGGGTGGCGTGGGGGGGATGCTCGTTTGAAAATTGAGTACAGTGAGCAGTGGTTGTCAGCAGTCTGGGGATGTAAGGGATGTAAGGGATCAGGGAGGTGTAGCTGTGTGGGTGTGTAATAAATTACAATTAGGACGACATGCAACACAAGGTTCAGACTAGGTTTTTAATCATTTGACCTTTCCTTAGTAACTATTAATGAGAGTGGAGCCCTCTAAATTCTCCACTTTTTAATGGATTCTTTTGGAGGGTTCCAGACATATAAGAATTGCCCATTGGAATCTACATATGATTCTACATGTTCCTGACTTGCAGCTCTCCTCTGCTCCAATGACCGGCTGGATATTCCAATGGCCAGCCAAGTTTCAATTTATCTCTTCTAACGTGAAATGCAATGCCCTGAATTGGGTGATGATGATTATGCTAAACCTCTGGCTGGAGACAGCCCATGACATGGAGAGAAGGGGGTGGTAGAGAGAGAGATAGAGACAGATAGCAGCTGCATTATGTCTGTCTGTCTATGAATAGTGGGGAAAGACCCATTTTTATGCTAGTGGAAAAACAATGAGTGCTGGCTGTTTTTTAAAATGAAGATGATGGAACAGAAGGAACTTTTGGAAATTTAATGAACGAGCTGCTGAATTAGCCATTGCAAGTGGAAGTCACATATGGATGATTCAGTATAAGTGGTGTAAGGAATTTAGATGTGTCGAACAAGTTTTACAGCAAGACTGTCAAATTGTAGCAAAATCAAAAAATTTAGTAAGTATAAAATATGATATAATAAACAAGACAAGAATAACCACTGCTTAACAGATTATACTTCTGGCTCGGCTATGGACCAACAAACCGCGCAAGAATTTAGACTGGATTTGTGTCAAACTTCAGTAGATTCTTCAAAGTTCTATGCTGAGACTTCTGTAGCTCTCAGATTCTAGGTAGATCTAAGCAATACCAGCTATCCATTCCCTTTTGGATCTTTTTTCTATCTGCTGTAATAATTTAACCTTCTTTCTTATAACCAAAATAATTAATATGTCTCCTCACTTTACAAAATCATGTGAGGCAATTGACCGGTTACCAGGGTACCCAGTAGCAAATCCTTGTGTTGTTCTATGTTAATCTGACATTACACAAGTTTCCATGCTCACAGCTACAGCCTAATTCTGAATAACTTGGTTCTGTCTTATATAATTGCAGCTGTTACTTTATGCAAACATATGTATTTTCAACCATGTACACAAGATAAAGTTAGAAAAAGTTCACTTGGAGTTGAACTCTAATATTTGAGGTTGAGCATTAAAACTACATAAGTGCAGTGCATAGTGAGAGGAGCTGCGCAAGCACATGTCATTAGTGCCTTTTGTTTAATTTAATTCATGTTAATTGTACTTTGTTATAGTAAAACACTGAAAAGATGAAAACTTGTCCTGTGGTTATATCCATTGTCAATTACTGTACTGACTAAAACTGTTCACTGTTTGTGACAGTTGAGTAATTATTGGTCATGTTCATTATAAGCATTTCATATAACCAGTTCATTATCATTTTTAAGCCTAATTCCACCCATGCTGTAGCATGCCTATGTGAATTGTTCCAATCATGTGATTATGCAGGCTAGTTTAAAACAGACATTATTGGATCAGTTGCTGTTTAACATCCTTGATGAAAATGAGGAGATATGTTTAATTGGCAGTTGATCTGACGGTGCCCATTTCATACTAACCCGCCAGCATCAGAATTCCTTCCTCCCCACGTCAATTGTAGTTTAATAATTTAACCTGTTTATTTCTGTTGGACAGTGTATACCCTGTGGTCCTGCCCAGATCTCCTGGTTGCTTTCACAACGTGGCCTGTCGTACTGACAAAACTCGCTGGAGGAGCAGGTGAGGCACCTGAATCACAGAGGCACAAAAACATGTTGTAAAGAGACAGAATTATAATAATTATGGCCTATGTAATAGTTCACACTTATTATGTTTATTTTGATACTATATTAATTTGAATGTGTACAGATAAGCAAAACTTGAGATGAGAACTAAATGTTAAGGAACTCATTCATATCTTTAATTCCACTTTAAGCTCAAAATCTTTAAAATCACTGCCTTTCAAATGTATCAATCAGTTCTGTAAATTATCTTTTACGTTTCTTCCTGTTGATTAATTTGTGACTATTTTTATTTAATATTGTAATTTTTCTAGTTTATTTCACTCTAATTATGGAGAAGTCATCACAAGTCATTGAGTTCATTTATTGTATTATGTTTAGGAATACATTTTTGGGACATTTAATGGAAGATACCAATTTCATGGGAGACACAAAAGTTCTCTACTTTTAGGAAAGAAGCACCTTCTTTGTGTTTCAGCAACAACTTACAGAATGCTTTTAATAAAACATCAAATGTGCTTCACATGCGCAATATAAAACAAGATGGCCCATATAGAAACCGATCTGGTCAGATGAACAATAGCTTGGTCATAGAATTAAGTATAAGAAATGCCTTAAAGGAACAGAATAAGTTAGTGATATGCTAAGAGTGTACTCCAGATCTTTGAGTGCAGCCAAGTATGGTGGAAGAATTAAAACTAGGAGGATCACAAGAAGCCAGAATTAGAGAAGTGCAGACATCTTAGCTGTAGTATTGCCTTACATGCCTTGCTCTCTTCCCACATCCTCCAAACCAGGATTCTGAAGCAGGAATGTCTGAGCTAGATCAGCTACCTTGTTGACAATGTCATGTGGGTTACCTAGAAAATATGACTTTTGAAGTACTTGCCATTTAATACTTAAGTAAACAATTTAAAAGAAAATCATTTGGGGTGTATAACCAACATCACATCCAGTATTACCAGTTTTGTGTCTCCATATTGACAATGCCAATGCACAGCTAGTCTTCCTCTTGTACGACACTCCCATAACAGCACTTCGAGGCTGTTATGCATAAGATGGTAAATACAGCTTGTTTATATTGTTGCTGAGAAGTCTCTAAGCAGCTGGACAATCTAGTACAGTTTCTTGTGGGAAAATGCATCCCTTATAATTTTAAACTTTCAAAACACATTCAGATGTGAGGGAAAGATTGCAAGACAGTAGTCTAGTGATGTGTCAAGATTATGTTCATAAGGTAAATTTTGCTTTTGAGATTTATAACATTGTCAGAAACCCTGAATTAGATTGTAATGTTGGAGATCAGTCCTAGAAATAATTTTAGTTATGTATCTTTTCATTTCATGGTTTTGTTACAGATTTTAGTTTTTGGAAAAAAATTGAGTCATTCTGTAAGCATTTTCTGTACTGCTATTTTTTAGGTTTTATTTCTAAAATTTGTGTTTTATATAAATTGCTGTTTCTCACATAAGATCATAAATATTGAGAAACTTCTAGTTATGTGACAATTAAGTCTACTTATCTGTTTCCATTTCTAAAAACATAATGTAGCTTTAAAAGAACAAAAGGCATCTCGAGGAAGACAGAATAAAACAGTGTGCTTTCTCCTATTTCATTTTATCCAGTCTGGCATCTGACTATTTCTTGAATTTCCCTGACACATTTGAGTGCCCTGCTTTCCCCTGTGGGTATCTGAACAAAGGATATTTTTCTACCATCTGTTTTAAATCTACCTTTCACAATTGTATTTAAGTTTACAACCTTTTTACTCAATGGTTAGATGGATAAACTAATATCTTGTCAGTGCCATTTTTGTATGAAGTTAGTTATTTGACCCTGAGCTTGCTCACTGATCAAGATTAAGATCCTTTGTACTCTTTCATACTTGAGATCTTCCTTGTCGTTTTAGTTTATTCAATGCATGAACATCCCTTTTATAATGAGTTAACCAGAACTGCACACAACATGCTAATAGAAGTCTGACCAGTTTAGAACCTCTAGAGACAGTGTACTGGTTGTGTAAATCATTTTATTTGTGTTTTGCTTTAGTTAGCCCTTAAAAAAAATTGCTGTGTTTTAGTCTTATAACCATTTCCTGCAAATATTAAATCTATGTAGCTGGATCATTGATATTCATTATTCTATTTCTCATGCAATGAAAATGATCTACATATGACTAGAAAGCATTTTGTTGTGTTAAATTAATTTTGTAATGAGAATTTGTTAATTAGGATTCACTGCAAGTTGTAAATTATTTTGCTATTGTAGATCTTATGTTACCTGGAGTGGTTGTGCCATCTTCTGGCCTTCCTGAGCTACAGCAGGGAGATCTTTGTGCCATTAACCTTGTTGAAAACAGGTATCGTACTAATAGATGTTGATTGTTATCCCTTTTGTGAAGTTCAGTCTTTTGCCATCTTTGTTTCTTTTATACAATACAATAAGGCTTGTACTATGCATTCCACAGAAAAATCATAGATTAGAAGATAGAAGTACGGAGATGACCATTTGACTTGTTAGCCTAGTGTTTTCTTTCTCCGGTATTCTTGCTGTTCTATAAATGTTACTAGTTGATGTACAGCTATCTAGTCATTATAGACAAGTGAAATAAAGCTGTCTGCTTTCCAATACTGTGAGGATCCAAAACAAGATAAATTGAAACACCTCCAACCCAAAGGCCACAAAGCAGACCTAGAAATAAAATTACTTTTTAAAGAAAGATACACAAGCTGTTGCAAGCAACTTGGGACGGGAGGAAGAGTTGCATAATCCTATTTAAATTTAAACTAAATATGGTTTGTTTTATTTTATCCTTTTTAACCAATTTATTGCAGAGCTCCAGTGGCGATAGGCTTAGTCACTATGCCAACAACTGATATGCTTGCAACTGGTATGAAGGGAAAGGGTGTCACAATCCTCCATACATATCTGGATCTATTATGGTAAGAATGGAGAGTACTCAATTTATATTTACAAATTCTACATGACCTCAAGAAAAAGTATTTAAAGTATGGCAATTTATTTGAAGCATTGTAACAAAATATCTGTTAACATCAGTAATTGTTTCTTTAGTTAATTTATTATCCATTGCATGCACTTGCGTACAACTGGGCTTGTACTTACTGGAATTTAGAAGCATGGTGGGGGGTGATTTCATGGAAATATACAAAATCCTGATAGGACTGCACAGGCTAGATGTGGGAAAAATGTTTTCAGTGTTGGGGAAGTTCAGAACTGGGGGTCACAGTCTATGAATAAAGGTTAAGCCATTAAGAAATGAGATGACGAAGAATTTCTTCACTCGGAGAGTTGTGGGCCTTTGGAATTCTTGACCACAGAAAGTTGTTGAGGCCAGTTCATTTGATATATTCAGGAGGGTGCTGAATGTGGCCCTTTTGGCTAAAACGATATGGAGAGAAAGCAGGAGTGGGAATTGCACGATCAGCCATGATCATGTTGAATGGTGGTGCAGGCTTGAAGGGTCGAATGACCTATTCCTGCACCTATTTTCTATGTTTCTATACTACTGGTACACAAGCATTGACCCTCTAAATTTCTATCCCATGCCGTTCGGTCCTACCAATGTTATCCCTCTCGTTTCAAATCCATTCCATTCTGTTCATCCTTCTCATATTAAGCAAATCTCATTCCCCCAACCCCATTCTATATTTCCCATGCATTCCTCCCCCGGGCCATTGCACAATAATTATACCTGCCGACCAATACACCCTTTAACCAATAGAGTCTGGAGAGACAAAATCTGGGTATTGTATTATAGTTTGTATTTGCACAGGAACATGTTGTACTACAAACATACCTGCAAAAACTTTTAACTTAGAGTCATAGAGTCCTACAGCACAGAGACAGGCCCTTTTTAGCCCAAACAGGTCCATGCCAACCAAATGTCCAATCACGCTAACCCCATTTCCCTGCACTTGGCCCATATCCTTCTAAACCTTTCCTATCCATGTGTTCATCCATGTGCCTTTTAAATGTTGTTAATATACCCACCTCAATCACTTCCAATGGCAGCTCATTTCCATATGCTTACCACCCTCTGTGTAAGAAAAGTTGCCCCTCCCGTTCCCGTGTATTCTTTCCCCTCTTACCTTAAACTGATAACCTCTAGTCCTCGATTCCCCAAGCCTGGGAAAAAGTCTGAGTGCATTCACCCTATCCATGCCTCTCATGTTCTTATACACTTCTATAAGATCTCCCCTCAGTCTCCTATGCTCTAAAGAAAAAAGACCTAGCTTGTCCAAGCTCTCCCTATCACTGAGTCCCTTGAGTCCTGGGACTTGACTTCATGGAAGATGAAAATTAAGTTATTAAATTTCTCAGATGCTGAGATCACATTAACACATACATGATGCATTTTCTCATTAACTGAATAGAATTATCACCTGAGGTTGTAGACTTGCTCGCTGAGCCGGTGTGTTTGATTGCAGACATTTCGTGCTAGGTGACATCATCAGTGTGCCTCTGGTTAAGCATTGGTGTTCTGTCCCACTTGTTATTTATATGCCTCGGTTTGCTGGGGTGGTTGGCATCACTTCTGGACATAAGCATATCGCACAAGGACACCAGAATAGAAGAGGACGAGATAATGATATCCTTTAATGTAACAGCACTGTTTACATCCGTAAACAATGACCTAACCAAAGAGACAATTGCCACGCTGCTGGACGAATCAGCAAGGCAGCCACCCCACGACACCAGCAGCATCAACAAAGACAGCACCCTGAAACTGCTGGATCTGTGCCTCACAACCCACTTCACCTTCAACGACCGTAGATTCAATCAAATCGAAGGAACACCAGTGGGATCCCCAATATCAGGACTGATTGCAGAAGTGGTAATGCAATGGTTAAAACCAGCAGCGCTGCCCACTATACACCCAGACTCTGGCTCCCCTATGTAGACGACACCTTCATGATTATCAAACACACAAGACTAGAAGAAAACAACCAACACATAAACAATATCCTCACTGGAATAAAATTCACAAAAGAGGAAGAGAACAATAACTGACTACCGTTCCTAGACATAGAACGTAAGAACAACGGGCATGTACAAAAAGACTACACATACAGACCAAATACTTAATTACACCAGCAACCTCCCCAACACCCATAAACGGAGCTGCATCACGACATTATTCAAACGGGCCACAACACACTGCAGCAACCTGGAATTGTGCAAAGCAGAACAGGAGCACTTATACAGAGTTTTAAAAGGAATGGATACCCAGAAAGCACAATCCGCCATTACTTCTGCGACAGACCACAGCAAGAAGACATAACATGGCCAGACACACTAGTCACGCTACCATACATCAAAGACCTATCAGAGATGACCACAAGACTACTCGGACCCCTAGGTATCAGGGTAGCCTACAAACCAACAACCACCCTGCGACAGCTATTGACGAATGTTAAGGATCCCATACCCACAACCAATAAAACTAACGTAATATACAAAATACCATGCAAGAACTGCGAGAAACATTACATAGGCCAAACTGGAAGAAAACTGACAATAAGGATACATGAACCCCAACTAGCCATCAAGAGACATGACCAATCCTCACTGGTCTAAATACACACAAAGAAGGACACACATTCGACTGGATCAACACATCCCATGTCAAATAGAGACATTCTAGGGAGTTCCTGGAGGCCTGGCATTCCAACCGGAACTCCATCAACAAACACAATGAACCGGACCCGATGTACAAACCACTGAAAAACAGAAAACTGGAAGGGATGTGAACCACCCCAGCAAACCGGGCATATAAGTAACGAGCGGGATAGAACACCAATGCTTCACCGGGGGCGCACTAACGATGTTGCTTAGCAGGGTGACAAAATGTCCACAACCAAACACACCAACTCAGCGAGCAAGTCTACAACCTCATTAACAAACCGAGCTACAAATCTTCTCAAAAACTTTAAGAATTATCACCTAATAAGAAAATTGTACTGTGGTGTTATAGAAATAAAAAAGACTTATTTCGCATTGCCAGAAAAAAAGAGGCGTAGAGTCATACAGCATGGAAACAGACCCTTCGGTCCAACCAGTCCACACCGAACATGACCCCAAACTAAACTAGTCCCACCTGCCTTCTCCTGGCCATATCCCTCCAAACCTTTCCTATTCGTGTATCTATCCAAATGTCTTTTAAACACAAACCACCCTCTATGTAAAAAAAAAAAAAATTGCCCCTCATGTCATTTTTAAATCTCTTGGCTCTCACCTTAAAAATGTGCCCCCTTATCTTGAAATCCCCAATCCTAGGGAAAAGACAGCTACTATTAACTCTGTCTATCCCTCTCATTATTTTATAAACTCCTATCAAGTCACCTCTCAACCTCCTGCATTCCAGTGAGAAAAGTCCCAGCCTATCCAGCCTTTCTTTATAACTCAAACCTTTCATACGCAGCAACACCCTGGTAAATCTCTTCTGAACCTTCTCCAGCTTGATAATGTCCTTCCCCTAACTGCGCAACCAGAACTGGACACAGTATTCCAGAAGAGGCCCCACCAATGTCCTGTACAACCTCAGCATGACTTCCCAACTCCTATACTCAAAGGATTGAGCAATGAAGGCAAACATGCCAAATTCCTTTTAACCACACTGTCTATATGAGATGCAAACTTCAAAGAATCATGTACCTGCAGCCCTACGTCCCTCTGTTCTACAATACAATCCAAGGCCCTACCATTAATTGTTTAAGCCGTACCCTTGTTTGTACCAAAATGCAGTTATCCAGATTGAACTCCATCTGCTATTTTTCAATCCATTGACCCATTTGATCAAGATCCCTTTGTAATCTTCGAAAACCTCCTATGCCACCAATTTTGGTGTTGTCCGCAAACTTACTAACCATGCCTTCTATATTCTCATCCAAATCATTTATATAAATGACAGACAAAGGAACACTGCTGGTACACAGGCTCCCAGCCTTAAAAGCAACTCTCACTATTACTGTCTGTCTCTTGCCGTTAAGCCAATTATGTATGCAATTGACAAACTCACCCTGAATCCCATGTGACCTAACTTTACTGATTAGCGTACCATGCAGAACCTTGTCAAAGGGTCTACTAAAATTCAAATAAACAATGTCTACTGCACTGCCGTCATCAAGCTTTTTGGTAACATCCTCAAAAAAACTCAATTGTTTGTGAGTTGCAATTTTCCTTGCACAAAACCATACTGACTATCCCTGATCAGTTTTTGCCTTTCTAAATGGCCATAAATCCTAGCTTTCAGAAGCACCTCCAACAATTTACCCACAACCGAAGTTAGACTCACAGGTCTATGGTTCCCCGGTTTCTCCTTACAACCTTTCTTAAACAAAGGTATAACATTAGCCATCCTCCAGTCATGAGGCACCTCACCCGTAGTTATAGATGATGCAAGTATTTCTGCAAGGGGTCTCTCAATTTCCTCCCTTACTTCCCACAGTGTTCCATGACACGAAATATTAATTTAGTATCTCTTCCATCTCCTGGGGCTCAGCACAAGGATGACCTCCTTGATTTTTAAGTGGCGCCACCCTCTCTCTAGTTACCCTCTTGCTCTTAATGTACTTGTACAATCTCTTTGGATTATCCTTTACCTTATCATCCAATGCCAACTCGTATCCCCTCTTTGCCTTCCTGATTTCTTTTCTAAGAATGCCCCTACACTGTTTATATTAAGAGATTGAAGTCAACCAAGTTGTCTGTATCTAAGATAAGATTCTCTTTTATTCTTGACTAGAACTTCAACATTTTTATTCATTCATTGTTCCTTAATCCTAGCAGCCTTACCCTTCAATCTAATAGGAACATAATGCCTCTGAACTCTGGTCATCACAATCTTGTCAGATGCCTCCCACTTGTCAGATGTCCTTTTACCAGCGAACAGTCTGCTCCAATCAACTTTTGAAAGTTTTTA